AAAAATACAATTAAATATTATTTCCTTTTTAAAAATTTCCAAATAACAATATAAAATAAAAGGAAACATTTATAAAATTTACAAAACTATTTAAAAACGAAAATATAAGTATATATAATATGGTTTAATAAAAAAATGAAAGTTCACAAAATAGTAATAATTAATATAACAATATAAAATAAAATTTATAACAATATAAAAACGAAAATATAAGTTATAAAATTTACAAAATACCAAATAACAATATAAAATAAAAAGGAAACATTTATAAAATTTACAAAACTATTTAAAAACGAAAATATAAGTATATATAATATGGTTTAATAAAAAAAGGAAAGTTCACAAAATAGTAATAATTAATTTAAATAACATTAAATATACCTTTGAAGTAATAATATCTATATCTTCTTAGATAAAAAACAATATCTGTATATAATGAGATTTCATAAAAAAAATTTCACACAAAAAAATATTGCTATTAGAAAAAGAAATATTTTTTCCTTAAAAAAATAATTTTAAACAATAAAATATATATTCAAAATAATTATTTTTGTATATATCTATCTATTTTGTTAGTTGATTACATAAAATAATCAACTAACATAAACTGATATATGTTTAACTGACATTTTTTTATAATTAGTATTATTGAAATTATTTTTTAGTATATTTATTTGGCTATAATATATTACAATTACAGTAAAAATATAAATTCTATTTTACTTATATAGTATAATTTCTCAAAAACAATCACTTTTTACTGACTATTTTAAGAGATACTAAAAATAAAACTAAAAATAAATTTAATGATAAACATCTTTTGATCAAGTAACTACAATTATTTTAAAATATCATAACACTATATAATTTAATGAGGTAGATATATTATATTTTAATAGTTAAAATTATTTGTTCTAAGAATAAAGATTCTGATTTACTTAAGTATTTTGATTATGGTTATATTAAGTTTCACAAACATAAAAACAGAAAATAAAAACAATTATTTTAAAATACCATAACACTATATAATTTAACGAGGTAGATGTATTATATTTTAATAGTTAAAATTATCTGTTTTCTTAATAATCTTTTGATTTTTAATTTTTTGTTTTTATGTTTGTGAAACTTAATATAACCATAGTCAAATACTTAAGGAAATCAGAATCCTTATTTTTAAAATTATTTAAAATAAATTTCAGTTTACCATCCAAACAATCTAAAGCATAAATTTATTTAGAATTTATAAAATATTTTAACTATTGTAAATATTGATATGTGTTCAAAATCCTCTAAAAATTCATTAGTTACTTATGTATGTATTTTAGAATCAGAAAATTTAGTTTTTATTTTTTTTCCTTATAAGCACAAAAAAACTTATTTTATATATAATCTTACTAAATATACTTATATTTCTAAGATAACAACCACCATAAATGCAAATAAGAAAATTAATCAAAAAATTAATATTTTAAAATATAAAAGATAATAATTGAATTCAGAGAAATAGATAAAATCCAATATATCTAAATGATAACTAAGTCGACCGTAAAAACAATAAAACAGATTAAATATAACATATCTAAAATTATATATATAATTAAAGTAATATAATATTATAATATAAATTAGACATACAAACTATAAACTAATTTAAAAATTAAAATAAATATCAATCAATTATTATTGTATATTTATTTTATAAATATACATGCCCGTGCATGAGCACGGGAAAATCACCTAGTGATAGAATATTTGATCATCATCCGGCCTGTCTATCGACTGAGACATTGTAATTTTAAATTGGACCCCCAATTATTTATCGGCCCGTAGAAATCGTATTTGGGCTTGAAATCGTTCACAAATTATTATTTGTGGACTAACCTTTTTTATATGAAAGACGTTAAATACTGGAAGAGAAGAAATCTTCGGCTTTTATCCACAGAGAACAATGTCTGAGCTGAATTTGTTTTTTTTGTAAAGAAAAGACAATTGATTAATGTGTATGTAGTATATCTGAATTTTTCATGTCCCTACCTCAATTTTAACTTGTACAAAACCGACTAAATCATAGATCTGAATATACAAAAAGATATGGTGGTTGAGCTAAGTCACTGGATCCATTGTACATGGTTGAATCTTCAGCGTACATATTTAATGGAATAAAGCAGTACACGTAGATGGCTTTCCTCGAAATTTCTTAGCCATGCTGTAACATCGTAATCCTCCTTATAAATATATACACAAATAATTAATGTAAAAAATTTCGATGTTGAGATTGTATTGAGAATAGGTACGGAAGTAGTACGCTGCCAGTTAATTCACACGGTATAGTGTGTCATAAAGATACAATTTGTTTTATGAAAAGACTCATAACTCAAATAGTGTTGTTTCCACATTTTCAGAATTAATATACTATAGAAGTGTTGTGTTCACATATTCAGGAATTGTATTATTGGCAAGTTTCTAGTTACTTGTTTAATTCTGAAATTTCACTCAAATAAATGTCAGAAGACCAGAAAAATGGGTAAGTGTTACAACTCAAAAGTGAAACTGAAAGAAGCCACGATCCAGATGCTTCTTTTCTCTTCATGCAAACGCATATTGTTTGCTGGAAAGCTGACAAAATACGCCCATATTCTCTCATTCGCCCTGACATTTGCTGAGTTTTGCGTAAGACCAAAGTGTGAAATCTCAAGACGAAGACAACAAAGTACCATCCCCATGATTAGTCGTAAGCTTCATGAGAAAGTCAAGGTTGTCCACATATTAGAACATGTCATCTCTCATCCTTTCCTACACACGATCATGTGCATATCTTTGCGTGTCCTAAAGCTACATGCTTTATTACTTTCCCATTTTTTCAAGTTTTTTTTTATATCAAATCTTAGCATACAAACATCTATGTCCGCATAAATTCATATTGCTGTGAATCATGGATGGACCGAAATTTAGTTGGAAACATAGATAATGCTTAACCAGTTTGAAAATCTTCCAAAATGAACGATTTAATCTATTTCTTATAATGAAGAAGAAGACAAAAATCAGACAAATTTCTATACAGTGTTTTTTTTTGAATAACACAAATTGTGGAGAAAACAAATTGTTACTATTACGTTTAGAGTATGAATAAAGAAAAGATTACTAATTATTTTGGTTAAAAGATGAGACGAGTGACGAGAGAAAACGCGGTTTGGGTTTGGGTAGCAAAGAGACAGAGTGAGAACAGCTGTAATTTGAAGTCACTCTCTTATCAATTCAGGCATCATCACCACCTTCTCTCACACTCTTCGGACTTCACTCCTCACTTTTTTGACTTCCTCCCTTTCATTTCTCTATACCATATTTTGTGATATTTTGTTTCATAATATTTTTTGTCTTATGTGTCGACTGTATATCACTCGAGCTAGTTAATAGAATTTGTTAATGTTTTCTATATAAGCAAAATCTTTGTATGTTTTATCATCATTTATATATTACAAATGGTTACGATGTCTATATATTGTTAACGCGTAAGTTACTCACAAGTCATTAAGTCACAAGCCAAGATAACAATGCTAAATTCAATACCTAGTTGCTATTCATATCTAAAATGATAATCCCTCTGTTTTTATACATGATGTCATGGATGAAAACATAAAGATTAAGAAAATTTATTTTCTGTAAAAAAAAATTATTATAACTATGAATTAAATATAATTCACCCAATCATTATAAAAACAGTGAATATAATTAGCTAAACAGTCTCCAATAACGTTAAAATTAAATAGATATATTGTAAAAAAAAATTGTATTTGAAACAATACAAATCTTCTAAAATTGTATTATGAAACAGAGGGAATAACTTCTTCGTACCTTGATAGCAAGCAGACGTCAAACCTCATAAACACAATCAAGGTAACTCAATAATAAACATAGGAAACTATTACAATGAATAACATTTATGAGCACGTACCGTCAATTATTTTGTTTCAAAACAACATGATACGATGAATAAACTAAACCACTAATTTATTCGGTAAAGAATAAACATAGTCCAATAACTAACCATATTGGGGTCTCTTTCTTGGAAAGATCATATACGAGTTAACGCGTTAAAGCATAGCTGTAATTTGTAATCTCCTGACACTGACAATGGCTACGTATATAATATAGTCAATATAAAGGAAAAACTGGTATTTCAAACTAAGATAATTGTATTCAGAATCATTCCTCGTTTTGCTCATCAAGTGGCTTCCGTACAGCTAGCTACTATATACGCTACTGATCAACTATTCCAATGGGTAAACAATACAAACTGTAAGATAAAATACAGAGAAAATTAAATGGTGAAATATGAAATATTCAAATGGTAGAATAACAAAATGATTTAATATAAACTAATGGGTTTCACCAAACCTACAAAATTCAAAACTCTTAAATCATTAAAAAAAAATTGTTTTACAATGGCATATAACAGATTGGTATCTTTATATATTTTCCTCTAAATTCCAAGATTCTTAGTTATTATATTTTGCTTCGACATTCAGATTTAAAAGAGAAGATGCAAAAAACTAGCAAAATGTTAAGAGAAGGCCATGTTCATGTTCATTGTTCGACCAGTTGAGCGAAGCCTTTAACATGAATCCAAATTCGAATTAATAATTAGATTCGAAAGATATAAATTTGTTTTTGTTTTTAAATGAGAAAGGAACAAAATTGTATTAATGACAATTGCCATTTTGCTATTATAAAAAACACCTGTCATGCACCAAAATGTCACAATATTCATACACAATAAACCATACTATATTACATTTGACTCTATTTTAGATTTATGTATGTAAGTAAATAATATTTCATCCCTTCCTCTCCCATTTCTATATATAATCTCCTCACCTCACATTAACAGTCATCCAAAACTCTCTATCCATCACAGCAGCAACAACAAAAACTCAAAGAACAATCTCTTCATCACTTGATCAATATTACATTCCCAATCAATACACACAACGTTACGTACCATGGTGAAACAAGAACCCAAGATTCAAACCAGCAGCAAGAAAGAAATGTCTCTGTCTTCACCATCTCATTCTTCTTCGTCTTCAACTTCAACTCCCCTTAAGATCAAGAGCAAGAAGAATAAGATTAAGAAGTACAAAGGAGTGAGGATGAGAAGTTGGGGATCATGGGTTTCTGAGATTAGGGCACCAAATCAAAAGACAAGGATTTGGTTAGGCTCATACTCAACAGCTGAGGCAGCAGCTAGGGCTTACGATGTTGCACTCTTATGTCTCAAAGGCCCTCGAGCCAATCTCAACTTCCCTACATCTTCTTATTCTCTTTCTCAACATCTTCTCGATGAAAAGACCATTTTGTCCCCCAAATCCATCCAAAGAGTTGCGGCTCAAGCTGCCAACAGCTCATTTGACCTTTTCTCCCCTTCTTCCTCAACTTCTTCTACACCGTCGGATCAAGAACAGCACCATGATGATAATGACGATGATGGGATGCAATCTTTGATAGGGTCTTTCGTGGATAAGCATGTGTCTTTAATGGATCCATCATCGTCATGGTATGGTGATGAAAATAATGGGATGTTCTTCTTCGATGATGTAGCTCCGTTCAATTACTCTCCTCAGTTGAACTCGATGACGAATATGGTCGATGAGTACTATTACGAAGATGCTTATATTCCTCTTTGGAGTTTCAGTTGATCCGACGGTCCAGAATACATACTTTATATATTTGTATCATTTTAAAAATTCTTTAAATATGTTTATTAATCTACCTTTGTCGTAATTTTTTTTCCAAGTTTTTTGTTGCTTGGAGAGAATTGACGACGGGTATTAACCATGACTGTAATAATTCAAGGTTTTGATATAATGTATTGAGACCTATGAAGTTTTCAATACCCTGGCCCTTTTGTCACTTATTTGACTTTCTCTAATCAATTTTTTTTTTAATAATAATGTGTTGGTACTGTAAATATATACTTTGCAGTATGTTTATGAAATAAATCTGATGTTTAATACTAGATCTGATTTTGTTTCACTTTTCAAAGGATTCACGTGTACATATGTCATATGTGCCGAGTAGCTAACAAAATGTAATGATTTTGCAATCCAGCACATTACCTTTGCTTTGAATATCTTATTTTGGCAAATGGTAAACGCAATGATGTATATAAACATCATTAGTTACAAGTCATGGTTGATACCGGTAAAGTTCTTTAGAATATAAGATACCCATATACAAATTGGTTGCTATAGTTAGATTTGAGAAAATTCCCCGATCTATCTGCCTAAATAATTCATTAGTTGTTTAATTAAACACTATTATGTTAGTACTATATTCAGGGGAATCTTACTGTTTCATGTGCCGTGGAAAAGTTTGGTATAGCTAATTATGTGCACATTGCTTGGGGACAAAGTTCATATCTTTGAAACTTGAGCTATTGTACATATATATATATATATATATATATATATATATTTGTTTTTAATAATTTCTCTCGTTTTTTTCTTCTTTCCTCTATCATGGAGGTACAACAGAACTGCAGTTAAGTGATAGGAGAAACATAGTTATTTTATATGATTCAGATACACTATATATCACTGTTTCAAACTGTTTTTAAACGTTTCAGAGAAAGCTTGATCAATTTAAATCATGAAAATAAAACTGACTACAATTCAACTAAACTTAATATAAAATTTATGGTCTTAGTTATTGTCATTTTCCAAAAAACAGTTAAGAAAAAAGATTATCGACATTTTGGTTTTAGCAACAAGATGATACAAGTTTGTTACAAAAAAAATAGCAATCGATTGCAACATATAAGATCGACAACGAATTGTTATCTTTGGTCAAGTGAGATTTGAGTTTTAGTTTATGTATACGTGTAAAAGAATAGGACACATATATCAGTCAAGCCATATTGTTTTATTACCCTTTACCTTTAACTGGATGGTGGTTGAAATTATGGGTGGCATTTCGGTTTTATTATGGGTTCGGTTTGGATTCGGTTTGGTTTAGGTTATTTGGGTCTAAGAAAACTTTAACAAAGTCAATTCCTATTAGTTCGGTTTGGTTTATGTTCGGTTTGGTTTGATTTTAGTTTGGTTTGATTTGTGTTCGGTTCGGTTTTAGTTGATTTGGTTTGTATTTGATTCAGTTTGTGTTTGATTTGGTTTAATATGGTTTTGTTTGTATTTTTTAATTCAATCGAATTGATTTTTTTGTTTTGTTCTAGTTCAATTACAAAAATATAATTTATAAAAACATTAACAAATCATCATTTGACATTAAATTATTGTTTTCTCCATATTTAAACATAAAACCAAACATCACAATAAATATGTGGAAGATGTAATCCAATAATTTTATATTATTATTTTCAAACTTAATATAACATCATAAAAGTATTCGGGTTTGATGTTAATGTATAAATTCATATTTTTAGTTGTGTTTATTTTATTCATTTAGAAGCAAAATATATAAAATTATTAGTTATTTAGGTTAAATGGTTAAATATATTAAATCTAATATTATTATTATATTTAATTAATCTAATTAATCTAATTAAAAACATTTTGGTTTTTCGGTTTGGTTAACCATTCGGATTGATAAAATCTTGAATGGTTTATACATATATTTTGGTTCGGTTTCGTCGGCTTGGTTTGGTTCAGTTCGAATTTTTTTGCCCATCCCTAATTGAAATACACTGATGGTGAGACTTGTTGTCTAAAAACTTGTCGTATCATAGTATTTTGAAGGTCTGCAATAACTAATGAATTTGAATTCAAGTTTGTATTGATGGTTTCATTTTGCAGCTTACCAACTAGCAAAATTTTCCAAACCTCTACGCTGATATTAACATGGCTTTAAGAAAAGAAATTTAGCCATGGTTCTTGTTTCTAGTGTGTAGATACAAGGATTTCGATATTATTTTCTGTGTAGATGAGACGTACTTGGTCTAATCGTTAAGTATTCCTATCATATTCCATGAATCTAGTTCATACGAATACCCAATACATGTATAAATAATAAATTATATGAGTAAAGTATGATATATTGGTCTTAGCATAACAAATATCTTGAAAGATATTATAGACTATATCATAGAAGGACATGGTTTTATGGGACCCCATACTTAAGAAGATAGAGTATTTTGATAAGACATTCATATGATTCATACGGCTTCGACTAGGATATTAATTTGTAGATAGTAGTCTTGTAGAGCATTTCTTTGTCAAAGGGACATCTAAACTCCATTACTTAGCATTAAACATTGAAACCACATGACTTGTCTCCTGCTCAACACTCTTTCGTGATATGGGCTGCAGCATCCATAGCCTTTTAAAGGCCCATTTTTATCCCCCCCCCCCCCTGATGAATTTGAACCATAGGCATTACGCTAACTGAGTTTAGTTGGGATTTTTTTTGTACAAAGCCTTTTATAAACTTGACGGAATTATTATTGTAAAAAGCCTTTTATAAACTGGACGGAATTATTATTGTAAAAAGCCTTTTATAAACTGGACGGAATTATTATTGTAAAAAGCCTTTTATAAACTGGACGGAATTATTATATTATTTCCAATTGGCGAACATATATATATGCAATGATCGGTTTTCGAATTTTAATGGACTACAAAGCGAGATAAGAGCTTCAGTTTTCGAATTACTATATATCGTGTTTAATAAAATCATCTACAAAAAGTAACAAATAGGAAAATCAGGATGATGTTTCTTAAGCTCTGTTTAGCAATTTGTTATTTATGAATATATAAACAAAAATAAGAAGTTTTGTAATGGATAATTATGGTGCTGCTTAAAATAATGTACCTTTTTTTTATTCGGTCAATCTCAAAAAGAATGCACTTCGTGCTATATAGTAGGTTAATCCAAAAACATAATATACTATCTGACTCAAACTTGGAATATCTTTTGACTAATGATAAAGGATCAACCGATTATCTCCACCATCTAAATCATTTGGACTGAATTTATACGGACTAAATAATGATAATTTAGTTTTCAGAGAAATCAAATTCAGGATATGTGGATACACATCAAACCTCGACAGATTGTCGATAATGAATTGAATCAAGCAGAGTCAATATAGTCGACTGTATTAGGTTTTAATTACTCTTTTGTAATTACTGTTTTTAACAAGTTGTATTGGTTCGTGTCTTTGCTCAACCAGTTTTTTCCTACTTGTACTTATCCTGATTCTATAAATTGGCGGCAGGTGACAGATTTATAATTTTGAATGAAAAAAAGTTCTTCTTTTGTTACCATAGAACTATGACAGGGTATTGATTTTTTTGTTTGGTTGCTTTCAAAAATCAATAGCTACCAAACATGCGATGCAGCTTAGCAGACCAAACACTTTCGTATTTAGAAAAGAGACTTTGTAGCAAAAAATTGTTTGCTAGTAAAATTAAGAGTTTTATATTCATGTGTAACTGCATTAAAGTTAGAGGTCATGTGCTTTGTCTATTCAGAAGCTCGTTTGTCCATTTCCTTTTGTAACTTATAAGTCATATCAACCCTTCATAAAAAAAACTTATAACTTTTCACTTTAAAATCATTTAATTGATTTACGTAAAAGTATACATATCATGTAAAGATCAGTGATTGGATTAATTGTTATAATTTGGTTGATAGAAAGTTTTTAATTTATTATTTATTAAGGCTGGTCAGCGCTACGCGTATGATATACTTTCTGTCCGATGTATATAACTATATAAGTGAATATTTTCTTTGTATTTATATAACCTTTTGAAAAGTAGTGTATATTATGTTTATCATTTTAAACAATGCCAAGGTTTGTGAGGATAATGTATCTTAAAAATAATTATGTTAGATTTCGTATTTGTGTCTATATTAATAGATTTCGGCAAATGACATATTATATTGGGTGGATGAGATGTAGGTCGTGTTCTTGTTATATTTTTTTATTACTATAAATTCATAATTGGTTGGTTAAGTATATGTTAATATAATTTTGGTTTTCAAGAGTAGACATGTGGTTTTGATGATTATAATTTGTAGGATTGGATTGAACATTACATGATTGCATTTTCTACGGGTCATGTTAGGCTGAATACTTATAAACAAATTATAAGTAAGCTTTTTACAAAGGGTATTTGTTGAAATCCCACAAATTTTGAATTGGTTCGTAAGACCAAATATTGAATTGTATAAATAAAAATGGAATATTAAAGGTTTAAAGCATGACAATAACAAACCATATAGGCAGTTTAAGAGGAAGAGTATGTTAGATTTCTGAAATATATGCGGAAGTATTATTTATTTGGTTTAATCTTTGATATTTGTTTATATCTATATTTTAGTGTTTGCTTAACATTGTAATGTGTTTTATGACATTATATTACTGTAATTAATATTTTTATTTCCTTTGTTGTTTTATAATTAAAAATTATTATATTCGTATGCATTTGACCATTTATCTCAATAATTGTTAAAATTTATTTATGTTTGATCTTATTTTGAATGTATATATATATTTTTAAATATATTATTTAATTTTTTTGGATATTTTGCGTTAGTTTGTATTATTAATAGTTTCCATTTTGATAAGATTTTATTTATAATTAATTATGAGTTGAACCAAACCATTAATTCGATTCGCGATAATACGAGATTCTGGTCTCTTTTCATTGACATAGATCCCGTCTTATTTTATTCA